GACCAGAGGTGGTATTTAGTCAGTTCTGATAGGTTCTGGACTGGCCCTGCTCCCGCTGCCTCCCAGCCTCCCAGCTGATCTTCTTTTGTTGCCCTTAACAGGAAAACGGAGCTGGAAAGCAGATTAGTGGGGTGGGGAGGGAATGGAGATTTTTCAGTATCCTTCTCCCATGAGTGGGGAGGAAATGAGGATTTTGCAGTATTCTTCCCCTATCATGCCCACAAAGCCACACCCACAAAGCCATGTCCACAGAACCAGTAGTTAAAAAAATTGAATCCCATCACTGGCATAGACAGAGTGTTCTTAAAATATGTAAAGTGAAATGATGACATTACTTTTCTGAAATCGTATTAATGTCTGCTTATGAGATATGCAGAAGATACAAAATTGAATGGGATATATTGCATCCAGTGGTGGGTTGCAGGCTGTACGCCCCTGGTACGGGCGTACCAGTGGCTGCCTGGAGCACCAAGTACTGTTCTAGTACAGTGCTCCGGAGGTCCACCCTCCCATCTTCCTTACCTATATTTGAACTCTTTGGCGCTTCTGCACACGCTGCGTACGGCACCTGTGCGACGTCCCACCGAGCAGCTGGAATTTCAAGGAGGCGTCGCTGGAGGGTAGAATGCATGCACATGCTGTGTGTGTGTGTGTGCGTGTGTGTTTGCGCGTGCTGCACGCATTCATGTGGTGGATACCGGGCCCCATTGCACCGTACCAGTTGCAACGGGACCCAGAACCCACCACTGATTGCATCACACAGATGATATCACCTAGTGGGTTAATGAAACATCTGCAAGCATACAACCCAGTTCAGGGAGTACCAAAAACTCCAGAGGCCAACCCTGAATTACCAATATTCTCTTCTACTGAGATATACTGTAATATAACTTTCAAAAAAAGCACAACCAGCATTCAAAAGATTCCTGAAAGTTGAGGTAATCAAACATAGGATATTGAAATGTAGCAGAAAGAAATGTGAAGTTCTTCATCTAGAAAATAGAAGTCACACTCAAAGAAACAGAATTGAGCATGACTGGACATATTAATTGTCAAAAAGATTACAGAACAGTAGTAAATTATAAACTGGATATGAATGAAGAGTGTGTTGAGACTGCACTAAAGGCAAGTGCCACGTTAGGCTATATCAACAGAAGTTTAATTTGTAATACATATGACATTTTGTTTTTTTCTGCTTCTCTTCAGTTTTACAGTGCTTGGACTGCTTTCCCAGATTTTTTTCGGAAATCTACAGCTCAGTGGTGGAAAAAAGAAATTGAAGAAGTCTACAATAACCCCACTAATCAATCACAAAGCATAAAGTTTGATGGCCTATGGATTGTAAGTTTCCATCTTGTATAATGTTTTATCTGATAAATTTAGTAACATTACTTCCAGTTCATGCTTTCTACTTTGATCAGCATTTTCAGACATCACATTTAATTTAACAGAAAGAAAATATTATTTTCTTACTACATCTGGGGAGCTTGACAATATTTTCTATCCCCAGTCATTGCTAATGCAACTTATATGGAAGGCTTTAGTTTGGGAAATGGATCTAAAATATAAACATTTGATAAACAAGCAAACAAACCAATAAATAAAATGAATAATGCAGCTGAAATGCATTATGAGGAAGTTGAGTGTGGTTTGGTTTTTTTTTTACTGTCAGAAATGGGTAAATCCATTTAGAACCAAGTCTCATCCATGTCCCATTTCAATATGCTTATCCATAAGTGTATAACATTGAATTCCATATACCATATTTTTCGGAGTATAAGACACACCAAAGTATAAGATGCACCAAGATTTTGAAGAGGCAAATTTAAAAAAAAAGTTTTTGCACTCTGCGGACCTCCAAAAACAGCCCATTTTTCACAAAAAACAGGCCCATTTTTTTTAAAAAAGGGCATGAATAGCCTTTAGGAGACTTGTAGAATGCTCCTGGGGTGACCTCCCCCCAAAATGAGCAAAAAATGACCCATTTTTCACAAAACAGGCCTGTTTTTGTTTTTTAAAAAGGGCATGCATAGCCTTTAGGAGACTTATAGAGTGCTCCTGGGGGCTGGGGGAGTAAAATTGAACAAAAATGGCTTGTTTTTCACTCATTTCTGCCCTCCCCAGCCCCAAGAGCACTATGCAAGCTTCTTAAAAGCTATGCACAGCCATTTTGGTGAAGGGGCAGGGTTTCTGGAGGCAAAAAAATGCTGTATTCAGTGTGTAAGATGCACCCAGATTTTCAGCCTCTTTTCTGAGGGAAAAAGGTGCATCTTATACTCTGAAAAATATGGTATACAGTGATTTATATTACAAACACAAACACAAACACACACACACACACACACACACACACTTAAATATCCTTTGGAATATTCTAAAACAAGTAGTCCAGGCAGTTCAAATAAATATAAAGGTTTATTGCAAACTTATGCTCTCTACAAGAATCTGTACTAATGTACTGCCTATTTGCTAATGGCCAACTCCTGCTATCTTGGAACTTAACAGCTTACTTCATTATAGCACATCATTCATATAATTTTACAAATAATATAAACTAGAAAGAAGTAATAACATTTCATGCAAAATTTGCATACAATTTTCAAATGAATCATCTAGCTATGATATTAGGTATACACTTCATAAAAGTTTAGTGAAATTTTTAATTAACAGTCTGTGTGTATTATTTGTTTTATCATTTAAGGACATGAATGAACCTGCAAGTTTTGTCAATGGTGCAGTTAATGGTTGTAGGAACCCTGAACTAAATAATCCAGTATATATGCCAGGTAATTATCATTATACTACTGTACTCTAATCTTTTGGAATGTTGCTAAATATGAGGTCAAAATATTAACACACCCTGAATTTAAATTAAGCCTAACTTTCTAAAATGAATATTTTTTAGCTTCGGTCAGGTACATGATGCTGGTAAAAAATATTTTGGAAATAGTGCTGTTATTCTAGCTCTTCCATATTCCTTTGACTGAGCTCTTTCACAAATTCTTTAGGCACGTTATGCATACAACATTTCACTGATGTGAAATTACTATAGGCCAAGCCATATATAATACTAACTTGATACCCGTGCTTCACGGCAAAACGATATGATAGGGCTATGCAGGAGAAATTTGGTTCACAATCCACAGTCTTAGTGGCGGTCGGTGATTGAAACACATAAGGGAATATTGCTCCCATTGCCTTGAGTCTGGAAGCAGTTCCATAGGTGGAAGGCATAGACATGAACAGAGTTCTTTGCAGGTGGGGAGGGAGAGTAGAACTCCTTAGCATCAGAACGTATTAGTTACTGTATAAGAAATACTAATGATCTAATGGTCATTTCGAAAAATCCTTTCTTAGCAAGCACCTAGAAGCCAAGAGGAACATACTGTAAGTGCCAAATTTCAAGTTTGTAGGCTTTATGGTTCTGGAGATTTTGTGATGAGTTAGTGGTACTTGGCTTTTATATAAATAGATTTTACCTAAGAGTAGAAATTTATATTTAAAAAAACAAAAATTAGACATAGATGTATCTGGTTCTGTTAACTTCCTTGAATTTATCTATTTATTTTATTATTTTTATCAGACATTCTAGGAAAACATGTGGGACTGAATGAGAAAACCATTTGTATGGAAAGTGAACAAATTCTGCCTGATGGAAGCCCAGTTCGACATTATGATGTCCACAATTTATATGGGTGGTCACAAACTAAGCCTACCTATGAGTAAGTAATCTTTCACTGAGTAGTAGCAACACTTTAATAGTTATTTAGTAGTAGTTATAGTATAACTATTATTCCTTTTAATAAGTAGAATTTTAATTTACTAGACTTAATTTGCATGAGAGATTAAAAGTTTATACATCTACAGTATATTAGTTTAATTCATTTTTATTAGAGATAATATCATTTAAATGTATAGTTCTTTAAATTGCTCTGCGAATATTAAAATACTTTAACATTGTAGCTAGCATTATAGGATGAACTGAAGATTTGTTGAAAAATGATTTGAGTTTTTGAGATTTAATTCATCTGTTCTTAGACCCAGCTCTATTACAGAAATTACTGACTATAACTGGCATATCCAAGAATGTAATACTAAGGGCAAGAAGTCATAAATTTTTAATTTTTTATATATCTATCCTGCTTTTACTTCAAGGAATTCTTCCATTTGATTTGATTGATTTGATTTGATTTATTGCATTTCTATGCCGCCCTATTCCCAGAGGGACTCAGGGTGGCTCACAAACCAAAGTAAGGAGGGGGGGGATACTAACAGGAGGAAAACAACGGACAAACAACTACAACAATTTAAAAACAATCAACAACCACACAATTCGAGTGGGGAAGGGGAAGAATTCCTTGAA